TACACGGGAAATGAGCAGTGTTTGGGCGAAGAAGATGCATATGCCTGACCTTCGGCACGTCTTGCTACCAAGGACTCGGGGCTTGCAGATCTGCTTGGAGGGGTTGAGTCCGTCAGTACAGTGGATGTATGATTGCACTATCGCATATGAGGGCATTCCGTAAGTCGCTATTCTACACTGAGTTTGTTCCATCTAACCAGGTTTAGTCCCGGTGAATTTGGACAAGATGTTTACAGTCTCAAAAGTCTTTACATCAAAAGTCAAAAAGCTCCGATAGCTCACATACACTGGCGTCGCTTTGATGTCAACAGCATTCCTGTTGGTGATGATGGGGCCTTTGATCACTGGCTCTATGAGCGATGGGCTGAAAAGGACGAATTGCTAGAACACTTCCAGCAACACGGTTGTTTTCCTACAGACGACGGCTATTTTGAGAGCGAGATCAGGATGAACAGCGTTTTAGAAGTTTCGCAGATCTTAGCCAGTGCACTCGCGGTGCTCGTGGTCTGGTGGGTCATGGGCACCATCACGTACGGCTTTAGAGCCCTTTTACTATCTAATACACAGTAAGTGCGGAGATAGTGTAATACGGTTAAGCGCGCCGATGGCAGATGAAGGATAAGGAAAGAGAAAGACACGTTGTTGCGTTGTTTTGCCTCGTCACTTAGCTCGTCCACGACTATCGCATTGTAGAATCATCAACATGAGCCACACACTTGTTACGTAGCTACAATGCAGCGGGCTCAGTCTGACGAGCCCAAGGTAATCTCTCAAGAGCTCGAGAACTCTCAGCATCGCGCAACTCGTTCCTCACGCACGTGCAAGGCGATATTGACACTCGTCTCATTCCAATCGCCAACTCTAAAAGCGCATTGTGAAAACCAGGCAAGCCCTCCTAGTAGATCGCTTGGGCCACGTGTGGCAGTGGAGATGAGGCTGATGACATCATGACACTCGCCAATGTCCAATGCAGAGCTGATTCCAAGCCGAAGTCTTGCCGAAACATCGGCCAAGTGCCGGTGTGTACACAGCAAGGCGAGAACGACAGTCGCCGAAAGTCTGCCTCAGTGTTCGTGATGGTAGTGCGATCCGTTCATCCAGTGCGCATAAGGATGTTGCGTCGTAGGCCCTGTGGATTCGCCAAGGTTAGCACCCAGCAACGCGGGTATTAGTAGAAGTTTAGAGCGCTCGAAAGTTGTACATACATGTAAATCCGTAGCCACTCCCGAAAGCATAAGATGGGTCGTCTGATACTCCAGAGCCTTGCGGCTCCACCGATGCGCCTCCATTGCCAGGGTTGTTTGCGTGTCCTTGGTTCGCGTCGTCGAGGCCCAAATTGAGGGCAGCCCAGTCGATACTTTCCCAAGCGTTGAGATCGGGCTCGGCAACGTGATGTTGCAGCGGCCCAACAGGGCTATTGGCGTCTTCAGCTTTCAGGGGCGCTTCGAAGAAGGGCGCGAGCCTACGTACAAGACAAACTCAAGTATAAGCAAGCGAATGCATAGGCAAGAATGTACGGTCATCTAACCTGAGATTCACAACCCTGGCCCATAGCTGACACACAGCGTCGTTGAGCTTGTAGCTGACCCAGCCGCAGAGATGGAGTCGTTCGAGAAGCGCTTCCGCCGATGGGATGTCAAACTCCGCACAGGCAAGCGAGGTCTGATACACAAACCATGTGCTGTCTGGCGAGGGTTCCGCTGATATCGCACCGATAGAGAGTATCCAGAGTAGAAGGTCGGGACAATGCTGCCACTCGGTACGAATAGTGCAGTTCAGCGCTTTCTCCAGTCGCTTGCTCGCTGCAGAGTGGAGCAGATGGACGTGAGACTGTAGCTTAAACGCTTCGGTCGTCCGCACCGTAAAGATGAGTAGCGCAACGCATAGTGCGTCTTCGAGGGGGGTGACAAGATGTTCGTTCTTGCGCAGCCATGTTAGCAGAGAGCATTCCAAGACGCATGCAAAGTTCTGAATATCGAGAGGGTCCAGAGGGCTCTCAGGATCACCGAACCAGACGTTCAGGTCGGCAATCAGGGAAAGCACCAATTCCACCAAGGCATTAAGTGGCTCTTTGATACCCGCATTCCGACAATAATCAGTCAGATGTTGAGAAATGTTCGATTCGTAGCCTGGTGGATGACGTGGAAAGCCTGCTGTGCTGATGAAATCCAATGTAGAGGGGCTTGGCGCTTGGAAATCGTTAATAGCGTGAGCGGTCGAATGCCTGATGCTCAGTAAGCACATGCCAAACCGGTTCTGGACAGAACGCGGAAGTAGAGGCTACACACCAAAGCATAAAGGCTTGAAGAATGCGATTCGTTTTGATTGCTCCTAGTCCTCCACGCAGCTGCACCATTCTCTGCAACCCCGTTCGATGGATCTCGAGTTGGACTGCGTGGTCTTCGTGTAAATCGAAAAATGGCATACGGAGACTCTCCTCTATGGTGAGTAAGTTGAATACTGCACCAATGTTTGCGTCCGATGTCCCATCCGGTGTCAGTATCGCTGCATTGACAGCAGCAATAGCCTGTGCTCGATGGTGCAAGATTGCATCGATGGTATCTTTTCCGAACACCCAAGCGTGCAGCGCGACCGTAGCAAGCAGACTGTGCATGAAGCCTGGATTACTTATCGCCGTGCCGAACCAGTCCGACTTCATCAGAGTAGAACGATGCCGGACGTCGACGGCGATGATACCAGGCGCCATCTCTGTGGAAACTACACGGTTCAAGTCAGCGTTTGAGTACCAACAATGCCGGGCATTGAGATGTTTGGCGCCATGCAATCGGATGTAATCTAGACTTCGCACTCTCAACGCCGTTGTACAGGGTTGTCGTGCCACGAACCCAGCGACCTGGAATGTCTTGATGGAAGGAGAGATGCAGGGATAGCCACTTACAATGCTTCAACAGCTCCGACACGCTGCGGGTTACTTCGACGGATGAAGTCCGAAAAGGATCGAAAAGCTGATTGTTTGGGTCTTCTGCAGGCGCCGCAGGCTTGACCAGCAAACATCTTTGGCAGTATCCCTCACCCGGGTGGCACAGGAAAATCCGACACTCTGGGCAAACGTCCCTCTTCGCTATCGCATAATCTTCAGACTCTGGGGAAGAAAAGTAATCAGACCTGTTCGCAACAATTGGAGGGCTTGGCGTCGCCTTGTTTGACGTGGACGCACATGTACTGTTAGGACTTGCGCTTTCTGAGCTTCCAGTTTTCCTTTGCTTCGCAGCATGTTTGCTTGTTGACCATGGGTTTTTCCTGCGGGCGTTCTGCATGACAAAAGAACGAGCATTGCGACGACCTTGGCGAGACGTCTTCGCTTGAGCTGCGTCGACGAACAAAAAGTCTCGCTGATCAGACATTGTCGGTCAGAGCCACCCGGTCTCCCTTTGGTGGCTCCTTCAGGCCCTCCAGCGGTTCTTCCCGTTACAGAACTAGCAATATGCCGTATTGTCCAGTTCAGAGAGGATGTAGATGGTGGGGCTTAGCAGGGTGTAGCCGGGACGACGTTGCGCGTGGTGACTAGTCCAGACTTTCCCAGTCCATGCTCGCGGATCAACATTTTGGTACCGACATGTGCCGTGACGACGTTGGGCTGCGGCGGTATCGTCCTTGGAGTTACTGGAGGCGATGGAGGGGCGCGAGACGTGAAACTATCAAGGACCCGATTCGTGTTAGGCTGCAGAAGCGAAGTCGGGTGTGACGGGGTGCCTGCGCCGATGCCAATCTCTCGAATGATGATGCAGCTGCGCCGTCCCAAACCCGTACGCCAGATAGTTCCACGACACGGTGAACAACGCAGGGTCTCTGTCTATATATGTAGACGATGGAGCTCGCGGGTCGCTGTTACCGAAGGATCAAAAATAGCACCGGCCACGGCCGGTGGCTAACGTTGCGTGATGTTTACAGGACCTGCTGTCCAGAAAACTGGAGATGGACATGAAAGACGCCACAACCGATGCTAACAGGAGCCGGGGCACGGTAGTCTCCTATGATACAAGGCAGACTCTCAAGCGTGGGCCCAGACCTTGTATGGATACTAGATCTTCGATTGTCGGTAGCATGACATCTGAGGTTCGCGATATACCAGGTATGACGCACCCCTGGCTTTCGGCGCGTTCGGAAATACTTTTTTGTCCAGAGTGCATGTTGGACCCCCGACCACACGTACAAATAGGTTTGCAGTCCGAAAGGAAGTGAATCTGTCGGAATGCGGACCCGACGAGGACGTGAATAGGTGAAAGGCCGAGGAACAATAGAGGCTCCGGACCCCGGCACCTACTGGGCAAGCGCGACGGAACCGCGCGTACCTTGATGCTCGGAAGCTCTGTCAACCACCGCCATGCAGGCAGACGGCATTCTAGCAGGTAGGACATGGCTGCTTATTCTGCTGACTGTGGCGCTCGTATACTGACCACGTCATTGTAACATAGGCCTTTCGGAAATACCTGCGCATGTCCTCCACGCGGAATTGCTCCGAAGACAGCAGGACAACGATGAGCGACCAGAATGCGGAAGCAAAGGGGCAAAGGGCTACTACAACACACCCATACATGTCTTCGCCTTGTTCTTAATACTCACACTTAGCACTGCGGGTTCGTACGTTTCTTCGCATACCTTCCAATGCACTGCTGACCGTCTCACAGCTTGCTCCTTCCCCGTGGTCGTCAAGCGCTTTCCTTCGATACCCGTTCCCCACCAGTTCCTCTTCATATCTAGACACTTCGGCACGGGTGTCCTGATCGCGACCGCCTTCGTTCATCTCCTGCCGACCGCCTTCGAGTCCCTCACCGACCCATGTCTACCCCCGTTCTGGAACAAGGGCTATTCGGCCATGCCGGGCTTGATAGCCATGACATCAGTCTTTGTAGTAGTGGGCGTGGAGATGTTCTTCGCATCGAGGGGAGCAGGCCATTCGCATTCGACTGGCTACGAAAACCTAGGCCTTGACGATCACGCTGCGGCTGCGCGCCCGGGCCACAAGAGAAGCCATAGCTATGGGAGGTTCAGCAACGGCACACCAGGAGCGAATGGCCACATACCGGGCATCATGCTGCACGATGTCGAATCTTCAGCCAATCTGATGGCAGGTCGATCGCCGTCGTTTTCCCTCGCATCGCCGATGACGCCCAATGATTCGATAAGCCGCAAGTCCATTGACGACGACAATGACTCAGATCTTGAGATAAGCAGGGAAGAGCTCGCCCGTCAGGAAGAGGAGAACTCAGAAGACGAGTCTCGCCTGCTGCCCGGCCCCCATGCCCATAATCATGTCCGCCAACCTGGCGGCGAATCCTCTGAAGATGTGGAGAAAACGGAAGCCCAAAACAAGAAACTGCTCTTGCAATGTCTACTGCTCGAAGCTGGAATTCTCTTCCACTCCATCTTCATAGGTATGGCGCTCTCGGTCGCCACTGGCACCGCCTTCATCGTCTTCCTCATAGCCATCTCCTTCCACCAAACCTTCGAAGGCTTCGCGCTCGGCTCCAGAATCAGCGCCATTCGCTTTCCAGCCGGATCGCCGAAACCGTGGCTAATGGCTCTAGCTTACGGAACCACCACACCCATTGGCCAGGCAATAGGTTTGGCTATACACACCCTGTACGACCCAGCAAGTGAAGCTGGCTTACTAACCGTGGGATTCATGAACGCCATATCCAGTGGCTTGTTGCTATTCGCTGGCTTGGTGGAGCTCCTTGCTGAAGATTTCTTGAGCGACGAAAGCTACGTGACGTTACAGGGGAAGCGGCGACTACAGGCCTGTGCCAGTGTCGTAGCAGGGGCGTTGCTAATGGCACTAGTCGGCGCATGGGCATAGTCCCCAACGTTCTCTTCTTGTATATTCTAAGCGCATCATGCATATATCTGGCGTTATGGCTGGTCACATGCAGGCTAGCCTGCTTCGTAATCATAATCACCAGCGACTTTCGCAGAAGCCTCGGTTGGCTTGATGTTGTTGTATAAGTGTGTATCGCCACATCCACGGATGCAATGTTACATTACGGACTTGTCCGTTGCCTTCTGAGTTTACCTTTCGACCTCCTCTTGTTCTTCGGTGCTTCCAACTCTGTACAACCCCTCGGCACCGCCGTCTCCGTGATCATTCCCGATTCCAGCTTCTTTCTCCAGCGCTTTGCATCGCCTTACTAAGTCGCTCACATGAGCATCTCCGCTATTGTAGCTCAAACCAAGCAGTGCAGTCTCCAGGTTGTAGAGGTACTCTTTGTTCTCGCCACTCGGACCTTTGCCTGTGATAGAGTCAGTATAACAAACCATGGCAGACGAAACATCTCAAGCAGACAAAGCAATGAGATAAAACATACTCTCCAAAATCTTCCTCGCCAACGCGTCCGGATCCTGCGCACCCAAAAACTGCGGATTCTCCGGTAACCCAATATAAACCAAACATCTAACACTTCCCGCCTCCTCTCTCACGGCGATGGTGTTAGTGGCCTTGATGCCAGCCCGCATGCCAGCTTCGGCTTCAGTTGGTTCGGAATCGTGCGGCGGAGACGTGACCTCTGAAGTGCTGATAGCCGGATGGAACGGTGTGAACTGAATCGAATACCCGTTTATCTCGCGAATATCAAGGTATTGGCGTACTTCCTGTACCTTGGAGGCCGGGATGTGGTATGCGGCGCCCCAAACGCGTTCGGTGGACTCATGCTATTCTTCTTAGCACCAGGCCTTCTTGCAGAGGCGGATCCGGGCATATAGCTGCAAGTTGAGCAGATCAGATATAACAAACAACAACTTACAGTATCCGTCAAAGTCTCCCAATGCGCCTTATCGATCAACGTGACAACGCGTCCCGGAGCTTCGGGCGTACCGCGGTGATCTTCACTGTAGCACCTCCGTATTAGCATTACTCCAACCCCGCTTCTCCACGATTCAGTTGGAGAGTCTCCATCCATACCTCGCCTACATACGATCGTCAGTCAAGAACCGTTTTTTATCGTACCATATCGTGCCATATCTGGCACCAGCCAAGGAAAAACACATACCTGCCAAAATCTCCTCACGTATCCTTCAATGTATCCGGGAATTCGCTGATCTGATTTCCACTGTCAGATCCAGGAATGCTCTCTTTGAGACAGAAGTCACGATGGCATATTTGCTTTTCGCCATGCCATGTTCGGGCCGTACCGTAGTGTGGCGGTGGTTTCCATATCAAGCTCCTACGACCGAGGCGTTAGCTTTTCGGCTAAACGTGTTCGAAACGCATAGGCAGGTATACCCGTATCCAAAGATCCAGAAGTCGTCGTTGCTGCCGAACGTCTCAATTTCGTTTTGATGGTCCGCCATGGTCGATGATGAAAGCTCGCTGCGAATCCGATGTCCGCTTGAGGTAGGACAAGTCTGTTCTTAACGTTTCCTCAAGGTGCCGTAGTGCTAGATTATTTGTGGGGCTCTTTGCAAGGAACTTCGGGACGATAGGTAAGCAGTAGAGAGGCGCGGAACAGCATTTCGGGAATGATTGTCGTGTGAAAATGTTGGGTTGGTGCTGCGTTGGCAGCCTATATACAGCCACTTATACAGATACAGATACAGGTACAGAATCCTACGATCCGCCAGCAGCCCGGCTCATGAAGAAACCCTTCAACGGGCCCATTGCATCGACTGCTCTCAATCCGAGACTTCGTAGCCCTACGAGCGGACCCGATTCGACGCTATACAGACGATGCAATTTATCGCACACGCCCAGCATTGCATTATTCTCCGCATACCGTTCACTGGTATAGCTCTCCAACGCCAATGTCGATCCGATGTCTTGTCCGGTCTGCACTGCATGTGATATCGTCCGTACAAGCGCTGCAGCATCACCTTGGCCTTGGTTGAGACCTTGACCTGCCAGTGGATGTATGGTGTGCGCGGCATCGCCAACCAGTGCGACTCGTTCACCAGTGTAGGTATCGGCGTGCCGCATTCGAAGTGGGAAGGACGCGACTGTGCCGTCTTGCACGTGTGCTACTCGCATCGGTATCGCGTGTTCGTCGACGGGGGTATGCTTCTCTCGCCATGCTACCTCCTCTGCCTGTCCGGATGAGAGGGTGTGTAGGTACTCCAGGTCTGTTGGCGAAAGTCGGAAACCCGCGTTGACCATTGCAACGAAATCGGCCTGTGATAGTGCCTTGAGCTTCGCAGCACGTTCCGGCGTGGTACTCCATACGAGTGTCGACATGTTGCCTGGAAGTGGCAGCATAGCGATTGGGCCGGTTGGCAAGAACCGCTGGTATGCAGTCTTGTGGTCTGGACCGCCCCAACCTTGCCCTTCGAGCTTCAGACTAGCCACCACACCATGTCTGCTATAGTCGAAGCCTCGTGACTCAATGTCTGCAAATGTCCGCACGGGGCTGTTCGCACCGTCGGCCCCAACCAATAGCCTAGCAGCCAGTGTCTTCCCATTGGACAGCGTGAGGATTGGCCACGACGAGAAGTCCATCTTGTCTGTATCCGTACCCAGATCTATCGAGTTGACCTTTGTAGATGTGTAGAAATCGACACCACCCAGTTGTTGGAGCCGGCTTAGTAGAGCGGTGACTGTGTTGACGTTTTCGATCATGTAGGCGATTGTTGTGGGTTGAGACAGGTTGCGAGGCGTGAGGAGAGGTTTCGCTGTGTGCCAATCGAAGGATATCCGCGCGTCGGTGACGCCGTCCCATACTTGCATCTCTTGGTATGGTTGCACTCGGGGTGTGTTGACATGCGCCCATGCTCCAATTTCTACACCGCGCATGTCAGAGGAATACTGTTGAACATCTAACACGCTTATTCGTACCCTGCAAGTTCTTCACAGAAGCTGGAGTGAGGGAGCTGCATCTATTCGAAAAGCTATCCAAGGTCGCATCTTGTGGCAGTCGACTTTTGTGTAGATCTTGTCCCTCGATGAGCGCAACCTTGAGCCCACTTGTGATTGGCGAAGCTTTCAGTCCTGTCAGGAGACTCAATCCTGCCGGGCCGCCTCCTACGCAGACGACATCGTAGACCTCCGGCGCAGTTGCGGAGCTCGAAGCAAACCTCCGCTGAGGCCGCAGATGGACCCAGACCGCCGATCGTGACGAAAGAGCCCTGGGCCCTCTTGGTGATATTCGAGGCGGCATCACGGGCCTTTGAAGACTATCGTGACATGAACGGACGTATTCGATTCGCGGACCGCGAAAGTCGGAATGGTGGTGTCATCACAGCGTGTTTGACATGTTTGCAGCCAGACACGCTAAGATTATGTCATCAAGGCAAGTCGCGTCGACCTGCCGCGATGTTAGCGCCGGGTTCTTCCACCTTCCAAGCTTCTCCACAGCCAAACCACAACCACATCTTTGCTTCCAATTGAAATCTTCGGACCTCTTCCAAGGATGCTTCTGACGACGACGACGACCATGACGACTGGGAGCTTACGAGTTTCATCGATGCTAACGGCTATCTAAGGCGTGACGTCCCTGCAGCTGATGTTAACACCCCTCAATTGATCGTCTGGCCGTTGCTCAGTGCCAGTCAGCGGCTACTGCCAGTGAGCTAATCACAATATTACACCATTCTCTGCGGATCCTCCGTCTCTTCACCGTCGAATCCATCGCAATCCGCTTGATTCTTGCTGTTTAGCAATTCGGTATGACTTCTGTCGTGGTAATCATGACGAGTATGCCTGTATCCTGCAGGGTGCCGCCCGTTGAAAATACTAGGCACGGTACTTTTTCACCTAAGTCACCACGGCAGCGGTCTTTACCATGGCTCTAATGTATGACGGGTGACTCTCATAGGCCAGTCTTCCCAGGAACGCTCGAGATGCACGCTGCTCTCGCGTGCGTGTGCAGCGTGCAGGACCTTCTTATCTGCTCCAGATTGCTTCGCTGGACTTCCAAACTGCCACTAACCACAGAAATTCTTGTTTTTAGTCAGGCCCTACGACTGTGTCAACAATCTGGTATCTTTCAATCGAACTTCATTGGTGGAGTTCATTGGTACAAGTGAACGACTTTGGTCATTGGCGGCACCAGCATGTTCTTGCTGATCGTACCGTACTTATCGCTAGGCTATTAAAGTAACAAGAGTCATCCGACTATCGAGAACTGGTATCGGTCAACAAAATTCTCGTTTGCTTCGCTCTCATCGTCATCTCTGCCATCAGTCTCTAGCTTTCCAATGCTATGACATCTCAAGCACCTGGAAACACACCTCCCGACGAGCCTTGTGTAATTTTCAACATCAGCGAAACAGAGGTGGACCCAGAATTCTTCCAATTGCCATACCCTCCAAAGCTTTCATTGAAGCGTCAAGTATCAGAATCATTCCTCCAAACGCGTGGCTACATTAAGAAACAAAGAAGAATACACTCGAGCGGTCGTGAGACAGCGATCGACTGTCCTTGCTTGCCACCGCCAGCGTACTACATAGCCATGACTGGGCCCAGTTCAAACTTCCACAGTGCTTACTCTACCCTGCCTACCACACCCCCTACACCCGAAAACGAAACTCATCCACGAAGACCATCACAAGTCACCGAGATCATAGAGAAGGTCAACGCAAAGCTTAGGCGCCTCTTTGGTAGTCGAAGGGGATCCGTCGAGGATGTACACACATCATTCAACGCTACTGTCAGCGATCGACCGAGTGTGTTTCATACGCTGAGTGGACCACCAGAGGAATCGCATATCCAGCGTTATCCCGGAGATGTCGTTGGGATGAGTGTGGCTTCCCTACCAAATGTAAGGGAATACTTTCATGTCAATGGCGAAGTAGGCTTGGCTGCTTCCATATCACTGCTAACTGATACACCCTTTAGACAACGTTCCAGGCGAGACGAAGAAACACCATGCAAACACAGTCGAACTGCGACTTACACTACGATGGAGATGGCGAACTGGAGCAGCTTCATAGCCTCCAGTCTTATAGTACGCAAAGTACGAGATATGGAGGACGAAAGCGGAAAGACTCCCAATTCAGCTTTAGCGATTTGTTGCGACCTCGACGATTCAGCAAAGCAGAGAAAGGCAAGGGACGAATGGAATACGATGAAGAAGCTGGATCAACCTCTCAAGACCAACTCCTCCATACTGATCGAGAGACCTCATCAGATCCAGTCAAACTCCCTCTAACGGAATATGGGACTTTGCCTCTTGGACCATCTGACCAGCATGCTGGCCCTTCAACGCCGTCGTCAGCTGCAGTATCACCCATGGAACAAACCATACCCATAAGGCCCAAGCCTGTCATACCTTCAAGGCCAACGCCCACAGCAAGAAAAGTGAGCGTGCGTCTTGTACCACCTACACCTGCGCCTCCACGCGTCCAGCGGCGGTCATCGACCAGCTCCATAGTCTCCTCCTCGTCAATCTCCAGTTTCGACTCTACCAACCCAATGCCGATAGCAACCAGCATTTTCCTCCAGCGCGCACGCGACATCGTGAACACACCCAGCACGGCAACAATCGAAGTAGGTGCAAACGGGCACTCTCAACCCATCTCCATCCCATCTTCACACCACAACAGCCGCCGCTCATCCATACTCCCAGAAGGCTCAGCACGACCTCTAGACGACTCCCCAACTCTGCCTCCGTCTCTCACCGCATCAACAGCCGAGCTCCTCCGTCATGGCGACCGCCCAGATACAGCACCTTCTTCACCCTCTCTCGATCCTACTCTTGTTCCTTCTCTGGATACCATGCAAACCCTGCATCTAGGCCCGCCTCAACGAGCTCTGCTCCAGCGATCGGTATCGAGTAGTTCATCACGCATGTTTCACGTCTCCGTTGAGCATCTGTCTACGCCTACACAGCCCGTCTCGCGCTTCAGTGCCTGCTCCTCACTGGCCAGCAAACCCCCGGAACCCATTTCGCGGTTCAGTGCGTGTTCGTCTCTGGCTAGCAAGTATAGTTCAGCCGTGGAGCATGTAGATGATACGCCGGATTTCAGTATCACGCATCCTGCGCCTCCAAGCCCTGTTCCCTCTTCCTCGCCGGCACTGGAAGCGGTACCATCGCCTGTTAAGCGACGGACTGGAAGTTTGGAAGGGAGTCAGGATCTACGCGCTGTGTATATTGAGCAGGGAAGAGCGAGCGTTATAACTTGTCCTCCGCGACAGCGAAGTCCGAGGAAGAGTCTTCAGGGGAGGTGTTGGTGGGACGAATCGCCTCCAAAAGTGTATCTCTAGGTTTGTGTGGTGTTATTCGGGTTGTACCTTTGATTCATATGTAAATTGAACCCATCACAGTGCATAGACATGTAGCACATGGGAAGACATAGTAGTTCCTCATCCACGACACCTCGGCGTTCAATGTATTACAACAGCATACTAGATAATGCTACCTCTGCCCCTAGGGCCAGTGAACCAACATCCCATCACCATCATCCATTACAAATATACGCCATGAACCCCATGCAGTACAACCAAAGACAAAGCCTTGCCAGGCTGTCATGTAAAATGAGCGAAAAGGCCCAAGCTGGGTATCGAGCTAACCGAAAGGACTGGTGATGCTTTTATGCAGAAAGACGCTATGCATGAAGAAAGGACAGAACATGGACGAAGCTTAGATTGCGCGGCGAGATTGTGTAGTCCTAGATTTTACAAGAGGACGGCGAAGCCGAGGAAGACGCTGCCGAAGACGGCGGCGAGGCCGAGGCCAGCGTTGGGCATGAAGATGGAGCCAGCGCCGCCTTGGTCGTTGGAACCGCCGTTGTTGTTGCTGTCGCTGGAGCCGGTCTCAGAGGCACCACCGAAGCCGGTCACGGGGATGGTGTTTGAGGCGGAACCGTCGGTGCCGGTGGCGGCGGCGGTGGAGGCCATGGTGGTGGGAAGGGAGGTGTTGCCGCGGTACGGGTCTTGAGCTCCGCAAGGGTGGTCCTCACTGTTGACATGTTAGTTGTGTTTGTGATGAATGACTCGAGGGAACGTACCGGCAAGCGCTCTGGCAGCTGTTGTCGCCGTTGCAGTTCTCGACGCAAGTGTTTCCCCATTGTTGGCAGATGAAGTATGGCAGTGTCTGGGAGTACTCGGTGATGTTGGGCGCGACACCGTTCTCGCAGACGCAAGTGTAGGTGAGAGCGTCGGAGTCGCAGTCGTTCTGCTCGGTGGTCATGGAGTTGATGCCGGGCTGCTGGAGGCAGATGAGCGGGCATTGGGCCCTGTTCTGGTCACACCAGTAATCTGGAGAATGTTAGACGACGCGTCGTAGGTCGAATGATAACTTCTACATACCCCTAGTAGACTGCTCAACCGTGTCGGGGTCGATGGTGTATGGGTAGTTCAGCTGGGGGGTGTCTTGAGCAGCGACCAGGCCAGTGAAGGCGGCGATGCTGAGGGCGAAGACGGAACGCATGTTGATGTTTGGGAGGTGTTTGTTGACGGAGGATGAAGCGAAGGTATTAGATGATATACGGTCAGCGACAGACGTTGGACGATCAAATACAAAAGTAAACCTCAACAGCGAAAGTGATGAAGAGGCTGGAGGGAAAGGCGGCGTCCGATATATAAAGGGAGGGATGTGTCGACGGGAAGTGATGAGCTAGCGGTCGTTCGAGATAGGAAAGTTCACGGTCCGGTACGTGCACCCCCGCCTACCTTCAGCCTACCTTCTCGCCCGGGACGATGCCTGTCGGGGACGGGCTGCCGTGACTCAAGCCATAGTACTGCGGTGGAGTCGGCGTGGAAAGGGCGGCATTCCGTGGAAGATGGCAGACTGCGTGATGGAAGTTTGCCATTAATCCCTCGGCCGGACAGGGATGGGATGGACGTGTGGTCGTATTGGCCACTGGCTGCAGCGACTAGTCAGTTCTCAGGGTCTCGCATCCTAGTCGGCTCTGCGCATCATTCGGTTGAGACGAGCGAGGCCAGCGCCGCCAATTCTCCAGACATCGTCAACAAGACACTAGACGCGACTGCATCTGGCTGCATGCACCGGCGAGCATATCTACCCCTCACACACCCACGCGGCATTCTAGATACCAACCGCCCTCCCGTTTGACGCGCCACCTGCCCAGCCATCTCCTGTAAATGGATGGAGCCGGCGAGCTTTGAAACTGGAGACCCGTCTTCGTCGCCAGCCCGAGATGGGCCAACCCCCGCCACCGTCACTGTGGTCCCACCCTACTGGCAATCCCACCAGCG